TGAGCTCATTTGACTGTTCAGGTAATGCCGAGATAGAGGGGAAGAACATGCTTGTTGGTTTGTATTCTCTGGAAAGGACACAATCCTGCTTACCAACCACCTTAATGCGCTTTGCATTCTGTCTGTGAAGAGGTGACCAGGTTTAATATCACTCAACAAGTGCCATAGCCTCAGTTTTGGGCCTTTTTCCTTTTTCTTTCCTGAGATTAGGAAGTCTATCACTTTAAGGTGGTTGGTCTCACTCTAGACAGTGTTTGTCTAAATAAATGATGTCACTGCTACATTTTGACTCTTCTTGTTTGCCTGTGTGAAAGGGATTCTTGGCTAAAGTCCATTTCAAAAGGGAGGCACATCAACAAGGATTGGTGGGTACAGTATGGAAGCTAATAACTACAGCACTCTGGCCACTGGTCCGTTTTCTTCCTGACAATTCTCACAGCATTGTCAGTGTTACCACAGTGGATTGCTAAAATACAGTGGTTTAATTTTAAAGAATAAAATTGCCTTCAAAGAATTGTTTGTGGCTTGCCCATCTTGCCTGGCCTGATGCTGTACAATACATACACATTTTGCACTGGTTTCTTCAGTTATTGCCAGTTGGTCAGTGTCCTCAGCCTGGATTTTTAATATCATGGGGTTTTTATCTTATCTGTAACAGATTTCATGTTAACTTCACTGGAATCCGGTTTTGCCTTTTCATGGAGACAGCTGGAGCATAAACCATGTCATAGAATGAACAAGGTCAGTCTAACACTAGAACTGTACAAGAGCCAAAACTTACATTTAGAAAATGTATTTAGGATAAGCATTTAAATATCTGCCAGGTATTGTTATATTTAGGGGTAAGTTTACTGTCCATTTGGAAGAGGCAGTAGCAAGCCTGATGTTAAATAACAAAGTCCTTAGTCTCTATGCTGTATCAACTCTCACTGTGTACTCAAGTAATTGATAGCCATGCAAAAAGTGAACTACGAAGTTTAAATACCCATCATTGTGGAAGTGTGGCTTGTGGCTCCACATTTAGAGCTTAAAATCAATTTTGAACTGGAAGCAAGAATGTAGCTCCTTCATTATGTGTGAATATTCACACACAAATTACAGCATTTACTCTTTCAGTACATAACTTATGTTCCCACAGTTTGCAAATAAACTAGCTAATTATTGAAGGAGCTATAATTTTTTCCTAAGAAACTTAAAGATCTTTGTCAGCATATTATTTATTTCCTGTGCAAGTTCATTGTTTAAATAACATTGTCTTATCAAATCCAGCAAGATCTATAATACTTATTTGAACTATCCTTCATAAGAGCATTCATCTTTCTTGGTTCTTTTTTAAGATTTTTTTTTCCATTTTTTAAACTTTTGAAAAATTAATCCTTTCTAAAAAGAAAAAAAATTTGGTTTGAAGTGGCTTCAGTCTGCCACCAAAGGCAATAGGATCAGACAATCTTGGTACTTAGTGAATACTTTGTTGATCTCAGGCTTGAATTGTAAGGTAGAATTTGCGTGCTCTTTTGTGATAAGGCAGATGCACCTAGTTTCTTGAATTAAACATTAGCCTGGGTGGAGTACTGGCAAGGAAATATTAATTTTAGATGTCTGAGCAACTCTCATACTAATCAAAATAAGTGCTGACACTAGACGTGGGGGAAAGCCTAAGTATGACTTCACCATGACTGACCTCCTATGCCTAGGAGACTACCTGACCTCCTTGCCAGGCATCATTTCAGAGGCATCTTTTTGTTATCTTCAGATAGCAGATCTATGTGTTCTGAAATGAGATTCCTGTCACAGAGAAAGGGTCTTTTTTTCATGTTGGAAGGTTAATTTGTCTGACTTTGATTTACCATTATTGGACCTTGTTTTGTCTTTCTTTGCAAGGTTAAAAAGCACTCAGGTATTTTTTTTTTATAGGTATGCACCTACTGCAAAGACACAAACCACCTCTCAGCCAAGTATTTGGTGAAGTGAAACACACCATTTCTCAGACCTTCAGAAATTCCATGACCTTGAACTGTGAAAAGTAAGTCAGCTCTAACCATTTCTCTGAGCAGAAGTAAAAACATGGGCATCTTTTTACATGCTTTGTTCCCCCCCAACGGTTATGCTAAGAATTATTTTGTGTTTTTGCAGCAGTATCATAAGTGAATGGTCCCAGTGACACAGAGCAGTTTATAGTGATACTGGGTATTGCTCCAGACAAGCTCATGTGCTTATGTGACATTGCAGAGATGACACAATTTTCTGATTTTACGTCCTAAGACAACTCTTTGGCAACTAGCTTAGCTGTATCTTCATGGCATTGCACTGTTCTAGAAATTCCTGGCTTTAGACACTTATTTCTTCCCTTCACACAGGCATAATCAGTGTTCTTAGTTCTCACAAACATGTTTTTGGTGTTGTTTAAAACAGATTTCATTGGACCGAGACCATTAATAAAGTGGTTCAAGCTATGCTGAAAGTGTGACTAGCTCTCTTTACTGTTTGCTATTTTACCAATCCCTATGCCACTTGAAATTGGTTGTGCAAATATTGTGGGGTTTGAGAGAGTTAAAGCTGACAGTAACTTGGTCCCATCTACTTTGAGTAATCCTGGACACACTTCTAGCAGCAATGATGTTCTGTGGGAATGCTATGGCAACATCAAAATGTTGGCTGTCAGGCTGGCTTACTGCATCCTGTGCATGATCCGTGAATAAACAGAGGAATTTAGTTCCCAGAGTGTCAGTCTGGCACATTTCACAAGCACTACATTCACTTACCAAAAAAAGTCAGCCAGTCACACAGGGAAAGTGCTATAGTGACTGAGTGATAAATTTCCTGCTGCTAACCCTTGTGCATACTAACTCTAACAAGCTAGGAATAGATCATTCATGGCTTAATTCAGAAGGAAAATATGGTCTCACTCAGTTTGGTTATTATTTTTGTTCTCAGATGCTTTTCTTAGTTCACACTAATTTTAATTTATTATTTTTTTGTCTATGGATCTCCTTGCTAGTCTTTACATATATTAGTATGCTTACTTTCAGTTAGATGTGATTTCTCTCTGAATGAAAAGCTGGAGATAAGGTCAGTGAAGTACCAAGTTTGATCTGAAAAGCCCAAAAGGGATGTTAGTCCAGGGTTCAGTGCATAGGAACACGTTCATGTTGTTTCTAGTCTGCTGCAAATGAGTGCACAACACTCTGCACTTGGATCTGTCATGCAGTGATTTCCAGTGCCTCAAAGTGAGTATAAGCTTTACATCCATCCATTAGTCTCTTTTGCTGTATGTATCTTAATAAAGGAAATGCAAGGACATTTATAAGACAATGCTTTTTCAGATTACACCTAAAATGAACAAGATGGGGGTAGGGTAGAACTTGTTCTGTTAACAACAAGAGTCCAGGCTCCCTAGACACAGAGTCCATGCTTGGAAACATGCTCTCACTGAGGAGAGATCATAGAATCACAGATTGGTTTGGGCTGGGATGGACCTTAAAGATCGTCTGGTTTCAACTGCCCTGCCATGGGCAGGGACATAGGAAGGTTTGCTAGACCAGGTTGCTCAAAGCCCCATCCAGCCTGGCCTTGAACACTTCAGAGATGAGGCATCCACAGCTTCTTTGAGCAACCTGTTCCAGTGCTTCACCATTCTCACAGTGAAGTCTTTCCTCCTAATGTCTAATCTTAATCTTCTCTCTCTCAGTTTAGAACCACTGCTCCTCCTTCTATCACAATGCTCCCTAAGACCCTCTCCATCTTTCTTGTAGGCCCCTTTTAATTACTGGAAGGTTGCTTTAAGGTCTCCCCAGAGCCTTCTAGACATTTTTGTGAGACACAATGTTGACTGAAACTTTCAGGGGAAGTTTCTCTGCAAACTCTTTTTATGGTTTACCACCATTCCCATTAAAATGTTGTGTCTATCTTCAATCTAGTTATTTCTTCTAGATATTGGAGCTTGTATAAACTCAGACTATATTGCCATGTCTGTTTTGGTTTTGACCCCATGAGCGTGAACATCATTCTTAAAGATTCACTTTGGCAGACATAGGCAGAATTCCCTGAACTGTACACACTGAAGTGTGTTCAAAACTGACTATTGCATTGAGAGGAGAAATCTTAGGGTTTACCAAAAATAGCTTCACCAAAAAGAAATATCAGCCTCACACTGAGAGACAGTAAAATAAAATGAAAATTAAAACAGTTGTTAGAAATTTTGAGGAAAGCAATACATAACAAAAGGGAAAATACCCTTTTGCTGCTACATTAGTTGGATGAGTAGGCAGGGGCAACTCTTTAACATGCCAAAGACACAGTTTAAGAAGGACACATTGCACATCT